CCTAACGACTAGGCAGGGATCTATTTGTATGAGAGTGGGGGAAGTTGTCCCCACTAAAATTTTACTTTTTCCTATTTTTAGATATATATTTTTTTATAATATATATATATATATATAATATTTGAATTTATTAAGAAAGTAACATAATGAAAGATAATGGTATAACACTAACATCTTCTTGAGTGTAGAAGTTTAGTTTGTATAGAAGACGTTTTTGGTAATAATTTGTTTTTTTTTATTGCAAACAAACATAATTTTAACCAAAAATTTTAAAAAAAAATGTAAAATATTATATTTTAGAATCCTTCGAGAGACGAAAATGTAATTTTCAACGTAAGAAGATATGACAGCATAATGCATGTATATCTTAAGGAGAACATTATAATTTTCTTTTAATTTTATGTTACCTTTAAAGATAACAAAAGAGGTTGAATTACATGTGATGTGACAACCTTATATAAATTACCTATTTTCTTAAAGCACTGTGTTTTCTTATACTAATTTCAACGTACTTGTTCATTTGGATTTAGAAAAGTAATTTTACTAAGTGAATATTATAGATTTTTTAATATTCTCATAAATTCTCTAAAAAAAAAAAAGCTATTTTTTACGCTTATGTTTAAATAATTTTCTCGTATGATAAAAAATTACCCCTTTTTCTTTATTGGCAGCAAAAAGTTAACCTTTTAAAATTTGTTAAGTCATTAGGATTGGATAATATTGAAGGATCTAGATATTTTAACAAATATCATAAATTCATGCATTTATACATTCATTATATATGTTAAGAATGAAAAAAATGTTCATTAGAATATGTAACGTGAAATATTCCTAAGCAAAATTTTACCTTTTATAATGATCTTATTCGGTTTATGTAAAATTACATTGTGCGAAAGAATACACGTACGTAGCCTCATAATTTGTTTTTGAATTTATCACATAATTTATTAATTTCTTCTTTAGTAATCTACTATAATTAGATATATATGATACGAAGAATCTTATATATTAGTACTAACCATTAATAGGCTATTAAAAACTAGAATCTATCTTTTTTATACTTACGACACGTCGAACTTAGAACTATACATACTACTCTAATTTTTTGTCCCTAAATTAATTTTAATGGTTCAAACTAGAATCTATTTATGTATATGCATCATGAAATTTAAGATAAATGATAGTAATATGTTAATCTTTGACATACTGTTTTAAAGACATTATTTTTAATTGGTTAAAATTCATTAAAAAATATATAATTTATTTTAATTAATAAAAATAAGTGTAATAAGAGAAATATTCACTAACACACTCTTCGAATGATGAGAATATTTTTTAATTATATACACCCTTCTAGGACTAACTAAATTTAAGTAATTTACTTACTCATAGATGTTGTAAATTTTAGAATTTAAATGTGTGATTCTTTGTATCTTTCATATATGGAACACATTTAAAGTGACATTTTAATGTCCAAAACCAGTTGGCATTTGTCACACAAATTCGATTACTATCAACAAAGGTTTGCCGGAAAATCAGACCACTAGTGAATCAAATTGAACTATATAAAGACATTGTTGGTGGCGATAGAAACCACACCAAAAAACTCTTTTCAATTTTCTTTTCGTTTCTCTCTTTTTTTATTCACTGTCATGACTAGAAAAAAAGTAAAACTCTCATTCATCGCCAATGATTCTGCAAGGAAGGCAACATACAAAAAAAGGAAAAAGTCATTGTTGAAGAAGGTTGAGGAACTTAGCACTCTATGTGGCATTGAAGCATGTGCTATAGTTTATAGCCCCGATGATCCTCTACCACAGGTTTGGCCTTCTGATAACGGTGTTGAAAGGGTGGTGGAAAGATTCAGGATTATGCCTGAGTTGGAGCAAAGCAAGAAGATGGCGAACCAAGAGAGTTTCATTGGACAAAGGATCTTGAAGAGTAAGGACCAAGTAATGAAACTTATGAAGGACAATAGGGAGAAGGAGATGACCATGTTCATGTTTCGTTGTCTTAATGTAGGGAGGGTTCTTCCTGATAATAACATGACTACTAGTGATTTAAGTGATCTTTCATCGATGATCGAACAAAACTTGAGGGACATTAATAAAAGGTTGGAAACTCTAAGTGCTAATGAGATGACAACAAACCAACCTCAGGTGCAAACTCCAGCATTGGCTGTACCAAAGACTAAAGAAACAACATTGGTGAATTCTGGCTATGGGTTGGATATGAATGCTAACCCCGTGCCAAGGCAAATGTTTATGGACTTGCTTAATGGCAATGGAAATCAGGCAATAATGCCTCATTTTGGAGATGCTGATCTTCAACTTCAAACTAGTTTTTGGCCTAACCTATTACCTTGAAAGATGTTTGTGCTTGTTATCATCCCTTGGGAGATTATTGTTATTTTTTTTTTCTCTCTCTTCATATTTCATGAATAACTAGTTTTCATATTTCATGAAAAAAAAAAAAAAAGAGAAGTTCAAGTTACTTATCTCTTAAATCTATTTTTCATCATAATTTTTTTTAACACCTCTTATTCCTATTACTTTTTCTTATTAAAAAAGTAATGAAAATGAAAAATAATATTAAATAACATGTTACTTTACCTCATTTTTTTCTTCTTTTTTTTAGCTTCTAATTGCATTGATTCTCTCTTTTGCATCTTCTTTCTATTCATCGCATATTTAATAAGAAAAGTAAAATTTTGACAAAAAAAACATAAAAATAAGACAAAACAATAGTGAATATCATGTTAATAGTTTGAAGCTTTAATAGATATTTTCTATATAATTTTATTTGTATTTTATTTAGGGATGACAAAATGAATTTTCAGCCTGACCCATTTAGGCTGGCCTCACCATTGACCTACCAAAAAGAGTCAGGAACTAGCCTATCAAATGAAAATTATAGGCATGTCTTGGCCTGGGTACCAAAAAAATTTTAAAAAAAAATTAACATATTTATTTTGGCCACCTCTTTCAATATATTTTTTTTCTTAGTATCTAAATGACCCAATAAATTAGTGTACCTAAATAATAAAATAAATATTAAATTACATCATATTTGATTTGATTTGCTACGTATCAAATATCAAATTTGCTACATAATAAAATAGATATATAATTATAACAATAATAACTCTTCCAACAAATATGTAGCACAAACAATCTCAAATTACATATAATAAAATAAATTAATTGTATAACATATTTGTTACACAACAAATTACAAATTATTCACATAATAAATCTCATGTAACTTATTTAAACTTAACATTAAAAATAAGATAATAATAATAAAATTAGGTGGGTCGACAGGTTTACCCACCTCAACATGACAAAGTGGGCTAGATGGAATTAGATATCCAACTCATTCTGTGAGTGACAATTCATTTTACCATCCCTAATTTTATTGATAAAATATATTTGGAAGCATTTATAATTTTAGTTTTTAATTAATTTCAAACTCTTGTATCGTTTAGTTTATAGATCAATTATTTTAATTACATATTTTTAGTTTCAATTGATATATTTTTTATAATGTGTATACTACTAATATTTTTGTGCTGTATTTTAGTATAATGATTAAAATATCTTAAAATAGTGCATTGGTTAAATTAAAATATCTTAAAATACAATATAAAAAATAAGAAAATAATAATATAACTAGTGCATTGGTTAAAATAAAAAATATTCTATAAAAGATATTCAAACTATAATAGAAAAATTAATAAAATACACCTATTATTTATCAATGTCAATATCTTAAAGTATAATGCTGAAATAATAAAATAAATGTTGTAAATAGTATAATATAGTTAAAATAAACAATGTAGTATAAAAATAATAAAAGTAATATTAAATATAAATAAAATAAATTTATTATCTATCATTATCAATATCTTATATAATAAAAAGATAAAAACAAGAAAATCCCTTCTTGTGTAAAAAAAAAAAAATCATTCTTATCATGTTTCTCATACATACAAACAAGCAAAGATGTAACTCTCAAATTTGATTATGCCTAAGATATAAATCTTTAAGATTATACAAGGGGACCTTCCCTAGTTATTATATTCCATTTTATGCACATCACAAACATTTATGCTAATAATGTATGTCACATAAATCCTTATATATGCTTAATTCATATCATATGTATTCATCATCACAAGTTTACATTATGTATCACATTCATGTCATATCACGGCTAGGTAATCATGTTTAGACTTTATTTCGGTTAAGTCTCGATTTAGACTTCATGCATAACCATCGTATGATCCACGCATGAACACCTCATACATCATCATTAACCAACCTCAAAAGATGATCACAAGGTTAAATTATACTATTAAGTTACACATAATTCATTACTCAATTAGCATACTATATTCTTTAACTAACAAAGGTTATTAAATTGATTAAGTACTCCAAACACATCATTAAATACATAAAACATGTAATTCAATGCATGCAGGGTGGCATCTGGCATCGGGTACCATATGCATCGATATAACTCACAAAAAGAGTCTACGTTACTCTCTAAAATGACTACGTCTGATATGACTACACTCATGATCATCAAGATTGCACCAAGGAGCCCCTAATAAGACTCATATGCTCAACATGGACCATCCCACACTTGATGTATGTGCCATAGGGAGTAGCCAATGCTCTTTATTACTCCCACACCTGACACCATGCCAGAAACTATTCCTCTATAGAAAGTGCAAAAAATTGCACAAGACATATACAAAAACCCAAATCATGAGACCCAATTGGTAAAAATGCACATAAAGCCCAATTCTACACAAATAAGCCATCAATTAAACATCCTTACATCCAAAGTATCTCTATAACTTACTAAATCATTTTACTCTATACATTAGGGTTTTTATATGAACTACAAACACTTATAAATTGATGGTTAAAACAATTAACAGGAAATCAATTATACATATATTGATCTCAATCATCATAAATAAGACATATAAGAAAAGTACAAAACACAAATTCACAAATTATAAGATAAAATTGAGATTTTTTCTTCACATCATAGATGAACAGATAAGAGATTGAGAGTTAATCTCTCTACATGTAGGTATTCCACATTATAATGAGACTACTCCACTACAAGAAAATGACGATTTTGCGACGGTTATATGGCCTACATTGCGACGGTTAGAACTGCCGCAAAGACAACATTGCGACGGTTTGGAAACCGTCGCAAAATTGTCCGTCACAAGGCAATTTTGCGACGGTTAATAGAACCGTTGCACAAACCGTCGCAAAATTGGAATTGCGATCACTGAAGCACCCAACGCACTAATTGCCTCTATATTAACATTGCGACCCTTTCATCAACTGTCGCACCAACTGCCTCTAAATTAATATTACGACCCTTTTTTTACCCGTCGGAAATTATAATTTTTTTTTAATTTTAATAAATTTAAGTAGTGGTTCCAAACATGACCGTTATGAGTTAAAACACAACCCCAAAATAGGCCATTATGGTTTAAGAATGGGCCGTTCTAGATGCAAATTTAACACATGATGAAAGGATCCAGAACATGTCATTCTGGATTCAAAACGGGTCGTTCTGGCCACTCTAGATGTCTATAAATAGCACACTCTAACACTACCAAAAACACATTTTTCACTTTTGACTTCTTTTTCTCTTACACTCTTTGAAGACCAAGGGGAACCTAGAGGAGGAGACCAGCAAGATCCTGTTTTAGTTTCATCTCCTACTTATCGACGTAAGGGGGAAGTGAGAAACCTCGCTCTGTGTGTGGGAATGTATGTTAGGTAGTGGGATTAGCCCCTAATCCTATGTTTGTTGTATGCTCATGTATGAGGGGTTTTTCTCAATTATATATGTTTCATCTATTGTGTAGAAAAGAATGGCTCAATCCAAGAGGGGGGGGTGAATTGGATTTTATGACACTTAAAATTTTTTCAGAGTTCTAAGGATCTTTATTTCAACTTAAAATTTTCTAATATGAATTCTCAAAGAAGTTCCTTGAAAGACTTGCTAATGGGAATGAGTCTTATATGCTTTCTTGATTAATCTTGATAAAGTTCAATGTTAAGAACACTTAATATGCAACACTTTGATTCAGTTTAAGGTAATGTTGTGCATACAAACATATAAAGCAAGATTATCCAGTTTAACACTCAACCAAGATTTTGCTCAATGCAAAAGATAAGAGTGAGAGAGAAGAATGCACAAGCATTTTATCCTGGTTCAACCACTCCACAGGTGACCTACATCTAGTCCTCAATCATAACCTGATCAAGATTTGTTCCACTATCTTAATGAAAAAGTTTTACAAGCATACAACACATGCATATACTCTTACATTCAAGATAACCACTTTCTTGCCCCCAAGAAAGCACTTCTTGTAGAAACCCACTACAAGAATTCCTTACCACTTGAGACACCTACTCAAGATTTCCCTTACACTTTTCACCAAGAATTAAACGAACGAATTCACCTGGAAGATGAACAAATCATACTGTGAATTCTAAAAGCAAATCTTAATCTTTCTCTCCCAAGAATGTAATCATGATGATCTCTTTCAAAGAATTTCAAAATGTTTTACTTCTTGGTTTCACAAAGAAAACATTCCAAGAAGGTCACAAAGACTTCACAATATGATTTTTCTCTTTTTGATTCTCAATTCATTCTCTGTTCTGAAGTTTCAAAGTGTGAAAGCTATTTATAAAAATTTCAGAACCAGATAATCAATTATTTTAAAGGATAATCGATTATTTTGTTCTTCATGATTTCTGGAAATCACTCAAGAACAGAATAATCGATTATTTTGCGAGATAATCGATTATTCTAGAGAGTGCTTCCGGGAATAATCGATTATTTCACAGATAATCGATTATTATAGCAAGGCTCTTTTCACCTGTTGCTGGAATAATCGATTACATTTAATGATAATCGATTATTTTGAGTTAGTTATCAAAAACTCAATTTTATACTTCAAGGATAGATTCTCCTCTTCCACTCTCCTAGCCATGATGGGGCCATATGTATCCTCAAGGATGGTCTTCCATCATCCCCTCCTTCTTGTGAAGCATCGGTTTGGGGATGGCAAGTAGTAGAATAGAAAAGCTTTGTTCCTAATTTTTCCCATAGTACTTTCCAAAAATGACTAAGGAACTTAGCATCCCTATCAGACACAATTGTCTTGGGTAGACCATGCAAGCAGACCACTTCCCTAAAGAACAACTTAGCTATATAGCTAGCATCATCCACTTTGTGGCATGTATGATATGATCCATTTTGCTAAAACGGTCCACTACCACAAAGATATAGTTAAACCCCCTTTGAGTTCTTGGAAGTCCAAGCACAAAGTCTATACTAATATCTACCCAAGGGGAGCTAGCTATGGGAAGGGGGGTATAGAGTCCATGAGGCATTACTCTTGACTTAGATTTTAGACAAGTAATGCATTTGGAGCAATGCCTTTGGACATCTATCCTCATATGTGGCCAATAAAACTTTGCCTTTAAGAAACTTAGGGTTTTATCAACCCCAAAATGACCCATGAGACCCCCTTCATGACTCTCTTTGACCAAAAGCTTTCTAATGGATCCTTGAGGTATGTAAAGTTTTGTTTTCCCATTCTAAAAAGATATCCCTCAAGAAGATAGAATCCATCAAAAGGCTTTTGGAGACATTTTGCATAAGTGGCTTGGAATTCCAAATAAAGCTCATACAATTCCTTTACATCATCAAAGCCAAGTATTTGTGTTCCTAAGGTGGAAAGCAAGGTATGCCTCCTTGAAAGAGCATCAAAGTCCGGAACGACCCGTTCCAACTTGAGAACAGCCTGTTCTGGGCTACTAACTCACATTCATTTTGTTAATTTGGAACGGTCCATTCCAAGTTACTAAATCACCCCTATACATTTTTAAAATTATAAAAATACTCTCAATAAAAATGAAATAAAAATTGGGGTGTTACATGTGTCTAAATATCTTTTTACTTTAAAGGATCAAGAAAATGGTCTGAAAATCGATTTGACCAGGGCAACCATACAGGACCTACCATACCAAGTATAAGAAGAATAAAACAAAGTAGAAACATATATAGGTACCTAGTATATAGCTTAATAATTAAAAGAAGAAAACAACAAAGATGAAACAAAGATGTTAAGGCCAAAACAACTAATCCTAACCTATTTGCGTTTCATGAAGCATCTACGTACACACAGCGGACCACTAGGTAGGTCCATTATATTATCAATTATTCAATGTGGCCAAAAGCTAATGTCACTTTTGCACGGTTCTATAGGCTACAACTACGCCCCTTTATTTATGATCCATATATTCATCCCCGTTCCAACTTGAGAACAGCCTGTTCTGGGCTACTAACTCACATTCATTTTGTTAATTTGGAACGGTCCATTCCAAGTTACTAAATCACCCCTATACATTTTTAAAATTATAAAAATACTCTCAATAAAAATGAAATAAAAATTGGGGTGTTACATGTGTCTAAATATCTTTTTACTTTAAAGGATCAAGAAAATGGTCTGAAAATCGATTTGACCAGGGCAACCATACAGGACCTACCATACCAAGTATAAGAAGAATAAAACAAAGTAGAAACATATATAGGTACCTAGTATATAGCTTAATAATTAAAAGAAGAAAACAACAAAGATGAAACAAAGATGTTAAGGCCAAAACAACTAATCCTAACCTATTTGCGTTTCATGAAGCATCTACGTACACACAGCGGACCACTAGGTAGGTCCATTATATTATCAATTATTCAATGTGGCCAAAAGCTAATGTCACTTTTGCACGGTTCTATAGGCTACAACTACGCCCCTTTATTTATGATCCATATATTCATCCTTTGGAGTTTGGTTCAATTACTTGCACCATAGAATGTAGCAAGGAGACTAGCTAATGATTCATATCATTGATAACACATCAGGGGCAATTGATTATGTGGATTTTGGTTTGACTTTTTTTTTTTTTTTTCAAAAATTAAGTTATAAAATGATAATCATATTTATTTATATACTCTAACACATCTAACACATCTTACATACAAGATAAATTCATAAGTTTGTTGAAAGATAAATTTATATTCTAGTCACGATTTTGAAATTATATAAAGAAAAAAAAATCGTGTACCTCATGTTAAAGGAAGTATATAGAAAATTGTTAATAAAATATAAGTTCATTAAGATAATATACATAATACTTCAAAAAAAAACTTTTAAATTCTAATAAAAAAATTGTCTTGTAGATTGCAACGGTTTATAGTAAATCATCGCAATGCTGAAAAGTTTGCGACGGTTTATGACTAACTGTTGCAATGTTAAAAAAAATTTGCGATGATTTATGATTAACTGTCGCAATGTTAAACAAATTTTGTGACGGTTTACGATAAACCGTCGCAATGTTGAACAATTTTGCGACAGTTTTGAAAAACTGTCGTATGAAGGGTCGCAATATCGTCGCAATGCTGAGAAGTTTGCGACGGTTTATGACTAACTGTTGCAATGTTAAAAAAAATTTGCGATGATTTATGATTAACTGTCGCAATGTTAAACAAATTTTGTGACGGTTTACGATAAACCGTCGCAATGTTGAACAATTTTACGACGGTTTTGAAAAACTGTTGTATAAAGGGTCGCAATATCAAAGCGACGATGGTTTCTAGATAACTGTCGCAATTTGTCCGTCGCAATTTATCATTTTCCTTGTAATGCTCATTCTCTTGTCACCTCAATGAATGATGATGGTGTGGAATTTTAGGATGATCTTTGGTAGCTTGGTTCCCCAAGTTCTTTAAATGAGAGGAAAAAATACATGTAAAAAAGCTTAAAAAGAAAACTAATGCTAATCTCTCATAAAAACTCTCTAACTTGCCTTTAACTTATCAATTAATAAAATAAACCACAATTACGTTTTCTTTTCCTCATTAAATAAAGCATTTAATTGAAGCAATATAAAATAAAACATATTTCTTTCAACACATATATGTATAATAATTTTTACAACCTTTTTTTTTATTTAATTAAAATCACCCATATTTATAAAACATTCCAATTAATTAATTAAATCTTTTATTAATTTATTTAGAAAAACTTGAAGTTTTAGACTGAACGAATATTGTTGTATTTTTCTATTAGCAATAATATTGTTGTATTTTAACTAGAATACTTGATTGAACAGCTTTAAAGATCGTTATTTTCTATTATTGAAGACTAAATATAAGTTTCAAACATTTTATATTTTTCAGTTAATAATTAAATTTCTTAAATTAATATTGCATTTAATAAACTATGTTTAAATCACCATCAAAATAACATTTTTTTAATAAAAGTAATTTTTCAAGCTTTTAAGAAATTTTAAATTATTAATTAATTTTAATATTTTTATCATTAAAATAATTGTAAATAATTAATTATTTTTCAAAATTTAATTTTATAGTTATACTTTATTGTACAATTTTTTTTATAAATATATATTTTCAAACTTTTATTTTTAAAGGAGCTTCTATGTAAACAAAACGAAAATTAACAGACAAATTTTACTTATTTTTTTAAGTTATAATTTTTTATAAATATATATTTATCAAATTTTTATTTTTAAAGGAGCTTTTATGTAAACAAAACGAAAATTAACAGACAAATTTTGCTTATTTTTTCAAGTTCTAATTTTTAACTAAATCAAAAGTAACTTTTAAAGACAAAAATGGGTATAAAATATAATAAGCTAGAAACTAGCGTTATTTTTTTTAATGTATATATATATAAAAAAAAAATATTGCTTGAAGAAGCATTTTTAAAAAATGTTACAAACTACATTTTTTTTACTAAACACTATTCATGAGATAAAACAAGTTTTTTAACCAATAAAAAAACTAAAAGCTAACTAAAATCACATAATCTGCATGCTGTGTGTTCGTTATATGTAATATGATCCAACTTATACATTTTTCAATATTCGAATTATTTGTCTAATAAAAATTTACTTTTTATGCTTTTATTTAGGTCACTTTACTTTGATGTTATTATTTAAATAAAAAAAACTTTGTTAAGTCGTTAGGAATTAGGATTGGATATTGAGCGTTCAAAATAGTTTATAAAATGCCATAAATATGCACATTTATGGATTTATTATATATATTAAGAAAGAGAAATGTTTCTAAATTCGTGTAATGCGACATGATCACACAAATAATTTATCCTTAAGTAATTTAGTATAAATATATAATATGAATAATCTTACATTCTAATACAAATCCTAAAAATGCTACTAGAAATTATGATTTGTCTATATTTAGGCATGAAATTCAAGGATGAGGAAAAGACTTTTGACATATACACCTGTCTGGTATAGCAACTCATTAAGTAATTTACTCACTCAAACATATTCTAAATTTTAGAATTTAAATATCATTAAAGTGATGGATTCTCTATATCATTATGTATGGAATGACATTTACAGTGACAGTTTAGAGCGCAACACTTTCACACAAAGTAGAATACCATCAACAAAGGCGTACTCGAAAATCAAACCATGTCTATCAATTAGTCTATATAAAGAGAATGTTGGTAGCAATAGAAACCAAACCACAATAAATAACTCTTTTCCATTTTGTTTTTGTTTCTCCCTTTTTCTGGTCATCATCATGACCAGAAAAAAGGTGAAACTTGCATTCATAGTCAATGATTCTGCGAGGAAGACGACATATAAAAAGAGGAAGAAAGGAATGCTGAAGAAGGTTGAGGAACTCAGCACCCTTTGTGGCATTGAAGCATGTGCTATTGTTTATAGTCCCTTTGAACGTGAGGCTGAGGTTTGGCCATCCGATGAGGGTGTCCAAAATGTGTTGGGAAAGTTCAGGTCTATGCCTGAGTTAGAGCAAAGCAAGAAGATGGTGAACCAGGAAGGGTTCATTGGACAAAGGATCCTGAAGAGCAAGGAGCAACTGATGAAACTAGTGAAGGATAATAGAGAGATGGAAACAACCACGTTCATGTTTCAATGCCTTAGTGTGGAGAGTGTTGAGCCTAATAATAACACACATGTGACTGATTTGAATGATCTTTCTTCAGTGATTGAAGTGACTCTTAAGGAGATTAGTAAAAGGTTAGAAACAATGAATGTTAATGAGACGACCACGACCCCAAACCAATCCCAATTGCAAGCACCATCGTATCAACTCCAGATGCCGACACAAGCATACCAATCCATGCAGACACCAACGTTGTCAATGCCAAAGTCAGAAGAAATGACAATGATGAATTTCGGCCATGAGTTGGATACGAATGCTAATCCCATGCAAAGGCAGTTTTTCATGGACTTGCTCAATGGTAATGGTCGGGATGAGATGATAATGCATCCTCCTTCACTTGTTGATGCTGATCTCCGACTCCAAACTGGCTTCTGGCCTAACATGTTACCTTAAGAAAACATGTCATTGTTATCTGTCTTATGGGGAATATGTTTTTTAGTTCAATTGTCTTTGATTTGGTTTGGATTTTTTCAATCGTCCATGTTTCAGTGTGATGACATAACGGTAAGGCATTACTGTTTAGTCTTCAAATTTTTTATTTTGATTCATCAGATGGCTTTGGCTTGCATGTTTATTTCCAGCTTCCAAAACTTGGTTAATTATTATGGTTTGTGTTTCCTTTCGGAATGTAGTGGTTTGTGGAATAAATATAGTCTTTTTTGTTGTGTGGTTATCCCATGTTCAATACCCATATCCACAATTCTATATGTTTCATTGTGTATTATTTTATTCTAAACGGTTCATAAGTGTTTTTTTATTCACCTCATAAGTTTTCAACTTATCAAATAATAACAAGGATTTAATTAAATTAAAGTCAAAGTTCTTTTTTATTATATAAGTCTATTTGATAAAAGACTAATTTCGCTCGTAGTATTATGATTATTGGAAGTCAAATGATTTTTCACACATAATATGAAATCAAAGTCACAGTTATGATCTTGTTGCAGTGCAATTATCTATTAGCAATATTTTTAATTTTTATTTTTCAAAGAAATTATTGAAATTTAATACTATATATAATGCTAAAGGTACATGTTTTCATATAATAATACATTCATGAATTTAACTTATTTTATTTATTTTGACATGATTTATATAAAATAAACAATTTAATTATTAAAACAAAACATTTCATTTAAAAAAAAGATTTATGTAAATATCAACTATTTAATTAAAAATTAACAAATATTTACTGACGGAAAATATGTTAACAATTTGTCGCAGAAGAATCTCCTGCAGAAAATTTCTCGGTAATTTTTCATAGAAAAATCAGTCAATATATTTCCATAAAAAATCTGTCGGTAACTTTCTACATATATATAATTTCGTCGGTAAAATGTATCCAGTAAAAAAATTATCGATAATATTAACGAAATTGCATTACCTACGGATTTTTTCATTTGAGGATGAATTTGAATAAAGGACTATGTTGTTTGTAATCAGTATGGGTTCCAGATGAAGGAAGTTTGGTATCAACAAACAACCCTTAGGAGAGCTTGTACCTTTTGTACATATCCAACATGTGAGAATACGAATTGAAGATATCTCTAGAGAAATGCTAATTGGGACCCTGATCAATTATATACTGATTTGCCTGTTAATAATAAAAAGACCATTCCTAACTTGTGCCCCTGTATGGTAGACAATGTTCCTGATACTTAGAGGTATTTATACTGTGAAAAGTATCAATTCTTGAGGTGGTTCTAGAGCACATAGTTCTTAACTATTATATATATATATAAAATATAATTAAGTATAATTAATTTTTCTTATAAATTAAATAACTTAAATAGGTGTTATATAATGGGGTTATAAAAATTTAGACGATGGAGAGTTACCTACTCTGCTTGATTCACAATCACAAGTGACATATGACGTTAAAAAGTCAGTGGATGTGAATTTGGAGGTTTCAGAGTTTCAGGTGAGGCATTACTTATTTTGCTCAATCCTCCTATATCCAAATGTTCAGTTTTGAAGGCGGATGAGATGGATATAAGGTTCCCATGTTAGTAGAAGTAGTTTTAGATTCCCATGTCTTTTTTTTTTTTTTTTTTTTTTTTTTTTTTTTTTTTAAATGTTAAAAATAATAATCAGTATGGGTTCCTACTAAACTTTTAGAGATACTGTAACTTTACATAAAATACATGTTATAAAATAGGATAAGTACCTCTCCTTTCTAAATAACAAAAAAGTATATAATAAATATAACATATATATAATATTAAATATTATTTTATAAAATATATAGCAATACACATTATATAATATTAATTTATATATTATATATTATAATATATTTATACTATAAAATTTTCTTTTAACATTTTATCTTATATATAATTATAATGATTTTCATATGTAAATTTAAAGGGTTGTTAACTAAAATATTAAAATGAAATTTATTTTTAATGAAATATTTGAATAATAATAATTTTAAAATATTTATTTCTTTTTTATAATTTTAAGAAAAAGTAAATAATAATTTTGTTTTTTTTATATATAATATAGTTAAAATGATTACTTTTCATTTGAAAATTTTAAACAATTAATTTTTTTATAAAATTTATGTGTAATTATGATGAAACAGAAATTTTGCCATTTAAACATAATTTACTTTTTTATTGGTCTATATTAAATTAATATAAAACATATAATATAATAAGAGTTAATCACCTATATACTGCAGTGTAAAATTTTTTACACTGGCAACCAATCAGATCTGTTAATAGTGCCTTTTTTTTATTTTAATTTAATTAAATGAGAAAATGACATGACACTATTAATAGATCTGATTGGTTGTCAGTGTAAAAAAACTTTACATTATAGTGTATAGGTGATTAACTCATATAATAATTTTGTTGAGCTTGTTATCATGATACACACCAAACATTAAATAAGATTAAACTTTATTTATTTATTTATTTTATCATATCTTACTCTTATTCTATATCTTACTCTCACATCCTATTTTATCAAACCTAGACCGATGTTTGACTCAATGGAAACAATAAGCGAGTGAGGTATTGATCAAATAAATGAATTATTAATTAAATCACATAAATTGGTATAAATAAATTAAAATAATTATATATATATATATATATATATATATATTAATTGTTAAATATAATCAAGAACTAATGTGGAGTAGTGGTTTTGTAACATTTTATGGTAGGACTCATCCCAAGCGACCGTACAACAACAAGCACATGTCTCAAGACATGAGCCACTAGCAGTAGAGCACCTTTCATGCGTTTGAAAATTTGAAGAATTCATCAAATGGGTTGTAAAGATCAGGTGACAAGAGGACGATTGTCCAAGTGTAACTGCATACGAGAAAGAAAGGCTTGCTGTCAAGGTATAATATGTTTAATCTCACTATGTCATAATTCTCTCTTGAATTGCATACTCTATTCTGGCTTATTCATTTGGATTGGATAAAATCTTTTACATAGCCAACTAATAACATGTTACATTGGTATGATTTTTAAGATAATTATTGTAAAAATTAATAAGCTTATCATACTTGGTGATTTGTGTTATACATCATTGGTGCATTGACTTTTTTCTGTATTCATTTTACTTTATAGACTCATGTGGTAGCTATTTTTTGTGTAGGAAGAGGTATTGAAATAGGTATAAGGGATTGGACTTTTCAAATATGTGGACTTGTTTTTGTCAAAACTCTTGTAACAAACAAACATCAGCTTCAATTAATGGAAATATGTTACCTATCATTGTTGCAAGTGTTTGTTGCCAAGGAGCAGACATCACACTTATTTTGGATGTTGTACATTTTTGGGTTTGGCTCTGAATTATGTGTCTAAAAAAGGCTCAAATTATGTATGACCTAAATTTTGTCCAGCTCAAATTTTGTTTCACTTAAAATTCAAGTAGAGAAGGTTTCTTAGATCACAAAAAAGAGAATGAATTACACAATCATCGGAGAGAGAAAGAAGAAAGGAAGAGAGTAGAAAATTTGATTCGTATACACAGAATATTTTCAATTAAATTGCGATCCTCACTTTGTTTACAGTTTCAGTTGCAACATTGAAGAATTTCGTAAATATGTCATTGAGTGTTCACATTCTACTTTTGAGGAATGTCAAGTCATCTCATCATACCACAAAGCTGCTATCAAACAAGTATGTACTATGATTGGTGGAACTTGACATAATAAGAAAAAAATGATTATCACCTCTTACACTAATTCATATAATTCTTTCTTATTTATTTTGGTAAACACAATTGGAGCATATATGAATAAAGAGTAAACTTTGACCTTGTTTTCTTGATAGAGGTGGTCACTTTTCTTCTATTGGAGGATATCACCATGAAAAGAACATGACACTTATTTTGGATATTGCACGTTTTAAGTATCTTCCTCATTAGGTCCCACTTGAAGTTCTTTGGGAGGGCATGAATTATGTCGATGACACTACTGGACTAACTAGGGGTATACTTTCTTGTTTATATTTTATACTATTTTTTAATGATTTTTATATCTATTAATTCTAATCCTACTATTTAGAATGAAAGACTTAGATCAACAACTATAAATTTGCTCAAGTAAAACTATATATAAAAAAAACCTTAAATGATAACACTTTTTGTTACATCGTTTAAATGATATTTGTTTTGCTCAACTTTTTACCCTGTTCAAGTTCATGCTTATATCAAGGCCTCACGGTGGGGAACTTGACATGTTTTATACTCTAGTATTTTTCTATCTATTAAATAATGAAATATTGTTGTGTGTTTATCGGTGATTTCTTTATTTTGTATATGTTTTAGATACTTTTATGTTCTGAAATTGTTTTACTGTATGCTAATAAGGATTAAACAATAGTTGAGTGAGGTTTAATACTTTAATTCAATATGCTTTATGTGGTAAAAGTTCATACAAAAGGTTGGAAAGTCAATTTGCTTTATGCAAGTTATGTGTATGTTTGTAACTTGTATCTTTTATACTCTATAATTAAGTAAATACAAGATGGCTGTACATTGTGTTATTTGTATTTTTCATTATTTACATTGGTGTGTCGGATGTATCTTGCAAAGCTGCAAATACAAGATTTGGTTTAAAATTACAAAGTTCCTAAGGGATGATGTTCCAATTCTATTAAAATCAGAGGATATGAAAGACATTCATTATATTCTTTCAAGAATAGTCACATCATTTTCATTTAATTTTGAAAAATTCATCAAATGGGCCGCAGAGATCAGGAGACAAGAGGACGGTGGTCTAAGTGTAACTGCAGATGAGAAAGCAAGACATGTTGTCCAGGTATAATATGTTTAATCTCACTATGTCATAATTCTCTCTTGAATTGTATACTCTATTGTGACTTATTCATTTGGATTGGATAAAATCTTTTACATTACCAACTAATAACATGTTACATTGGTACGATTTTTAAG